GTGTAAAAGCGTCTGTGTGTAAAAGCGTCTGTGTGTAAAAGCGTCTGTGTGGAAAAGTGTCTGTGTGTAAAAGCGTCTGTGTGTAAAAGTGTCTGTGTGTTTACACCACACCACCAAAACCACACCCAAACCATTGGCAAAAGTGTTTGTGTGTAAAAGCGTCTGTGTTGTAAAGAGTGGTCTGTGTGTAAAAGCTTCTCTGTGTTTAAAAGTCTCTGTCATATGAACGTGTCTGTGTTAAAAGTGTCTGTGTGGAGGTGTCTGTGTTTAAAGGCTTCTGTTTGTAAAAGTCTCTGTTGTATGAATTGTTGTGTGTAAAAGCGTCTGTGTGTAAAAGTGTCTGTGTGTAAAAGCTTCTGTGTGTAAAAGTCTCTGTGTATGAAAGTGTTTGTGTGTAACAGCGTCTGTGTGTAAAAGTGTCTGTGTGTAAAAGCTTCTGTGTGTAAAAGTCTCTGTGTATGAAAGTGTTTGTGCGTAAAAGCGTCTGTGTGTAAAAGTGTCTGTGTGTAAAAGCTTCTGTGTGTAACAGTCTCTGTGTATGAAAGTGTTTGTGTGTAAAAGCGTCTGTGTGTAAAAGTGTCTGTGTGTAAAAGCTTCTGTGTGTAAAAGTCTCTGTGTATGAAAGTGTTTGTGTGTAAAAGCGTCTGTGTGTAAAAGCGTCTGTGTGTAAAAGCTTCTGTGTGTAAAAGTCTCTGTGTAGGAAAGTGTTTGTGTGTAAAAGCGTCTGTGTGTAAAAGCTTCTGTGTGCAGAAGTCTCTGTGTATGAAAGTGTTTGTGTGTAAAAGCGTCTGTGTGTAAAAGTGTCTGTGTGTAAAAGCTTCTGTGTGTAAAAGTCTCTGTGTATGAAAGCTTCTGTGTGTAAAAGCGCCTGTGTGTAAAAGTGTCTGTGTGTAAAAGTGTCTGTGTGTAAAAGCGTCTGTGTGTAAAAGTCTCTGTGTATGAAAGTGTTTGTGTGTAAAAGTCTCTGTGTATAAAAGTGTTTGTGTGTAAAAGCGTCTGTGTGTAAAAGTGTCTGTGTGTAAAAGCTTCTGTGTGTAAAAGTCTCTGTGTATGAAAGTGTTTGTGTGTAAAAGCGTCTGTGTGTAAAAGCTTCTGTGTGTAAAAGCTTCTGTGTGTAAAAGCCTCTGTGTATGAAAGTGTTTGTGTGTAAAAGCGTCTGTGTGTAAAAGTGTCTGTGTGTAAAAGCTTCTGTGTGTAAAAGCCTCTGTGTATGAAAGTGTTTGTGTGTAAAAGTGTCTGTGTGTAAAAGTGTCTGTGTGTAAAAGCTTCTGTGTGTAAAAGTCTCTGTGTATGAAAGTGTTTGTATGTAAAAGCGTCTGTGTGTAAAAGTGTCTGTGTGTAAAAGCTTCTGTGTGTAACAGTCTCTGTGTATGAAAGTGTTTGTGTAAAAGCGTCTGTGTGTAAAAGTGTCTGTGTGTAAAAGCTTCTGTGTGTAAAAGTCTCTGTGTATGAAAGTGTTTGTGTGTAAAGAGTCTGTGTGTAAAAGTGTCTGTGTGTAAAAGCTTCTGTGTGTAAAAGTCTCTGTGTATGAAAGTGTTTGTGTGTAAAAGCGTTTGTGTGTAAAAGTGTCTGTGTGTAAAAGCTTCTGTGTGTAACAGTCTCTGTGTATGAACGTGTTTGTGTGTAAAAGCGTCTGTCTGTAAAAGTGTCTGTGTGTAAAAGCTTCTGTGTGTAAAAGTCTCTGTGTATGAAAGTGTTTGTGTGTAAAAGCGTCTGTGTGTATCAGTGTCTGTGTGTAAAAGCTTCTGTGTGTAAAAGTCTCTGTGTATGAAAGTGTCTGTGTTTAAAAGCGTCTGTGTGTAAAATTCTCTGTGTATGAAAGTGTTTGTGTGTAAAAGCGTCTGTGTGTAAAAGCTTCTGTGTGTAAAAGCTTCTGTGTGTAAAAGTCTCTGTGTGTGAAAGTGTTTATGTGTAAAGGCGTTTGTGTGTAAAGCGTCTGTGTGTAAAAGTGTCTGTGTGTAAAAGCTTCTGTGTGTAAAAGTCTCTGTGTATGAAAGTGTTTGTGTGTAAAAGCGTCTGTTTGTAAAAGTGTCTGTGCGTGAAAGCTTCTGTGTGTAAAAGTCTCTGTGTATGAAAGTGTTTGTGTGTAAAAGCGTCTGTGTGTAAAAGTGTCTGTGTGTAAAAGCTTCTGTGTGAAAAAGTCTCTGTGTATGAAAGTGTTTGTGTGTAAAAGTGCCTGTGTGTGAAAGTGTCTGTGTGTAAAAGCTTCTGTGTGTAAAAGTCTCTGTGTATGAAAGTGTTTGTGTGTAAAAGCGTCTGTGTGTAAAAGTGTCTGTGTGCAAAAAGTTCTGCGTGTAAAATTCTCTGTGTATGAAAGTGTTTGCGTGTAAAAGCGTCTGTGTGTAAAAGCGTCTGTGTGTAAAAGTCTCTGTTTATGAAAGTGTTTGTGTGTGAAAGTGTTTGTGTGTAAAAGTGTCTGTGTGTAATAGCTTCTGTGTGTAAAAGTCTCTGTGTATGAAAGTGTTTGTGTGTAAAAGCGTCTGTGTGTAAAAGTGTCTGTGTGTAAAAGCTTCTGTGTGTAAAAGTCTCTGTTATGAAAGTGTTTGTGTGTAAAAGCGTCTGTGCGTAAAATGTGTGTGTAAAAGCTTCTGTGTGTAAAAGTCTCTGTGTATGAAGTGTTTGTTGTGTAAAAAGCGTCTGTGTGTGTGTGTAAAGTGTCTGTGTGTAAAAGTGTGTAAAAGCTTCTGTGTGTAAAAGTCTCTGGTATGACTGTTTTGTTGTAAAATGTAAAAAGTGTCTGTGTGTAAAAAAGCTTCTGTGTGTCAGAAGTCTCTGTGTATGAAGTGTTTGTGTGTAAAAGCGTCTGTGTGTAAGTGTCTGTGTGTAAAAGCTTCTGTGTGTAAAAGTCTCTGTGTATGAAAGTGTTTGTGTGTAAAAGCGTCTGTGTGCAAAAGTGTCTGTGTGTAAAAGCTTCTGTGTGTAAAAGTCTCTGTGTATGAAAGTGTTTGTGTGTAAAAGCGTCTGTGTGTAAAAGTGTCTGTGTGTAAAAGCTTCTGTGTGTAAAAGTCTCTGTGTATGAAAGTGTTCGTGTGTAAAAGCGTCTGTGTGTAAAAGCGTCTGTGTGTAAAAGCTTCTGTGTGTAAAAGTCTCTGTGTAGGAAAGTGTTTGTGTGTAAAAGCGTCTGTGTGTAAAAGCTTCTGTGTGCAGAAGTCTCTGTGTATGAAAGTGTTTGTGTGTAAAAGCGTCTGTGTGTAAAAGTGTCTGTGTGTAAAAGCTTCTGTGTGTAAAAGTCTCTGTATATGAAAGTGTTTGTGTGTAAAAGCGTCTGTGTGTAAAAGTGTCTGTGTGTAAAAGCGTCTGTGTGTAAAAGTGTCTGTGTATGAAAGTGTCTGTGTGTAAAAGCGTCTGTGTGTAAAAGTTTCTGTGTGTGAAAGTGTTTGTGTGTAAAAGTGTCTGTGTGTAAAAGCGTCTGTGTGTAAAAGCTTCTGTGTGTAAAATTCTCTGTGTATGAAAGTGTTTGTGTGTAAAAGCGTCTGTGTGTAAAAGCTTCTGTGTGTAAAAGCTTCTGTGTGTAAAAGTCTCTGTGTGTGAAAGTGTTTATGTGTAAAAGCGTTTGTGTGTAAAGCGTCTGTGTGTAAAAGTGTCTGTGTGTAAAAGCTTCTGTGTGTAAAAGTCTCTGTGTATGAAAGTGTTTGTGTGTAAAAGCGTCTGTGTGTAAAAGTGTCTGTGTGTAAAAGCTTCTGTGTGTAAAAGCCTCTGTGTATGAAAATGTTTGTGTGTAAAAGCGTCTGTGTGTAAAAGTGTCTGTGTGTAAAAGGTTCTGTGTGTGAAAAACTATACCAAGGATACGGTGCAAACTATTGTCTTGTACTTGTAAAATATTGTCTTGATACTACTCTTCTCGTCTGCCTATAATAGATCTTTAATAAATTGTCTTGTAATATAGTGTCTCAATACTAACAACAGAAGACCCTGCTCCTCCAAGGTCTCGGGCCATCCGTCGTCTAGTTTATTTTGTTCATTCATGTCGTTGATGTCATGTGACTTCTTGGCATCTCAACAACCATGTGCCCATTCATTGATGCATGTTTCTGCATTGCACAGATCAGACATTCCTATGTGCTATTGGTTCCTTATATATAATCATTGCTTTTTGAAACTTCCGCCCCGACGCGGCCAAACACTATCTGGTATATCCCTGATTTCTCTGAGCTGGAAAGTCTTCAGGCAGCCGCCAGACCAACACATCCAACAGCACTTTACCGCCTGAAGCGGCGGTGTCGGCTGCTGGAGCCAAAGAAATGGAGAAACCTTTGAATGTCAGCGTTGGCAATGTCAGCCATGCAGACACAAGCATCAACGCTTCGTTGAAATCAGCAAATGGTTGGGTCGGCTGCTGGTACTATGGTTGCCGCAGGCAGGACCTGTTCACAGCAAAACCGAATTGTTTTTTGATGTTTCGCAACATGGATGCCTACGGCCGTGAATTAGCTGTGCGCGTTTTGACCCTTGCGGTTTCTCTTTTTGAGCTGACTTTGTGCGCGGAAAGGAGTTACCATCCAGAGTTCCGTTGCCAGTGCAACCCAGGATGCAGACGGTACGGGTTGCTTGGCTGCATAATTTGAGTGTAACACGATGCAAGAACGGCCGCTCACTTCCGCCACGTGCATAGTTGTTGGAGTTTGGCTCTATCAAATCACCGTCCCCTGAACCATAGTTTTGTCACATTGCTTGCTCGGGGATCGAAGTCAGCAGTTGCCGGCTTGTTGCAACATGGCTACTTGGCCTCTTCTCACAAAGTGACGAAGAAAACCGATCAGTCTATGCTTCCGCAAAAGATGAACACCACGTCTAAATTTTCCAAGGGCCTTTCTGAGACAACATGCTCTTTGATCTCTTTTGATTTTTGTTTCTAAGGAATTGTTGTGGAGACTTTGGCACCAGATGTTGGTGGCTGGGCCCATCCCCTCCAGCAGATGACCGGCGGCGCCGCCGACGGCGAACCAAGCCACCGCCTCCACCGCCAAACCCGCAGTGGGCACCTTCGCCGCCACAGAACGGGATTGCTACAGTTTACCATCAAACCAGTCCGCAAGCGTGCAAGCTTTTCGGACTGAAGTTATTTTTGATGTTAAAGAAATGCGTGTTTGAATTAGGTTCGAGTGATTTGGCATGAATTTTTGGTGCACCAAACCTGTCAGCTCCCAGCTCAGGGCCATCCTGGCATCTAGCTTCCGACCCGGATCGGATGGCCACTGTGGTGGGGCCATTTACTTTGCCATGTCTCCGGAGGCATAGCAGTGACGCAACGACAAAATTTGTCCGGATTTCCAAACATGTCTAAGGTGTCAGATGCTGTATCAGACCCCCCAGATCTACAGCTGAATCATTCAACATGACCAAAGCCACTGTGCACCTCACTTGCGTTGTATAATCGTAGCATGATCTGGTGCTGTTGCAGGCCACAAAAACGAAGGCGATTGGCACACAGTCCCAGAGCGGCTGTGTCATTCAGGTGGGGATCTCTGCTGAGCACTTGCAGATAAAGGACTCAAAGATCCAAAATAGTTTGCGCATTCATCTGCGGTCCTTTCTGTTGTTTTGATTTTCCTGAGTTCACAACTGCGAAAGGGGCAGTTTTAAAAGCAGCCGTCATCGTTGACTCCACTTGCAGCCCACGGATTGCATGCAACTGGTGTGTCGAGGTGGCCTTATTGAAACAGTTCCGTAGTGATCTAATGCGGTCGCTTCGTGTCATCAGAGAGTGTGAAACTAGCTCGGAGATTCGAATTTAGTGTCAGGTAGGAAGTTTGTGTTTTCACGGGAACGATGGATATTCCGAATAATGTGAATTGTGTTGGTGAAAATGAGGGACACCATAATTGTGGAGGTTATCAATGTCAATGACATACTCGTACGACCCATATCTTTTTTGACGGTTTTTTGCGGCACAGGGAACCGAAACATGTACTGCGGGCTGTGGTGATCCATAGTGGCCAAGGCATCAGATTCTATCTAGAGTAGCTTGCTGCAGGTTACATGAATGATCCCGCGCGAATTGCACCGCTATTTTCAAAGGCTTAAAAACGAGCCATCTATTGCCATTTTGTGACACATGTATTGTCGGTTCTCGTGGGGCCAGGCAAAGGTGGAGGTCGGCCGCGTGAAATATGAAGGACCAAAATGTGGCCACAAATGGGAACCGGTCGGGGCCTTTTTGATGAGATTCTAGGAATGTGCAGAGCATGGCAGGTCAGTTCCAGTATTTCCGGTTTGAAAGGTTTTTTTCCGCATTTGGATTCTTTGGTCATTCTTTTTTGGGCCCTGGAGAGCTGCTGCGCAGGGCGAACTGAAACAGCAGGGCTATGATTCTATCCAGTTCGATCCTGGAGATGGCCAAGAGGTTGTGATTTTTGATCCAAACCAAGTGTCTCAGATGGAAAATATGTGGGTAGTTGAAGTTACTGTCGACTTGCCAGCTTGAGACGCAGAAGTCAAATTCGTCAAATTGCTTTGTCGCTGCATCAGGTTAAGAGCATGAAAGAGATCCCCTACAATTCCGCCTGGAAACCTGAATACAACGTGCGATGATGTAGCCATGACGTCACCCTGACAATCGGCAACTTGTCGA